TCAGATCATGGGATTCTTGGTGGAAACAGTTGTCACTGATTGGGAAATTATTGTCTTAATCTGTATTTTTCTTGTATGTGTCAGTATTACCTGCCTTCAGGGCAGCCAGATTTATTTGACAGAGAGAGACACAGCGAGAGAAGGAACACAAGCAGGGGGAGTGGGAGAGGGAGAAGGAGAAGCAGGCCTCCCCCCGAACAGGGAGCCCGATGCGGGGCTCGATCCCAGGACCCCGGGATCATGACCTGAGCCGAAGGCAGACGCCCAACCGACTGAGCCACCCAGGCGCCCCGTGTTATATACCTTTCACATCTATATCTACAATTTATTTTAAACTGATTTTTGTGAATGGTGTCAAGCACGTGCCAAATTCTAGATCAAAAGAGAGATAACCAATGGACAGATGTGTAGATGGATGGAAATATCCAGTTGACCCTGCAGCATTTATTGAAATGATTCTCCAATTCTCAACTATGCCACCATTGCATGAATGAGTTCCCCACATAACGTATGATTTGGGTTCCGAATCTCTGTCAGTTTTATCATCTTTTGTTGCTCCAGGGACTAACACTATATTGTCTTTATTGCTGTGGTTGTGTCCTAAGCCTTGATGTCTGTTAGTGCAAGTCCTCCAGATGTTTCATCAAAATCGTCTTGGCCATGCTTGGTTCTTTGCATTTCCATACATATTTCATAATCATCTTTTTAATTTATCCAGTAATACAACTCGCTAGGATTTTGATTAGGATAGCATTTACACTGTGCATCTATTTGTTGATATTTCTATGTAGTCATCAAATTCATAAACCCAGTATTTTTGTTCCTTTTTGATCATTAAAAATAAAAGATCTTTAGTTTCTTTGTAGAGATCTTTAAAAATTTTTGTTTAGATATTCCTGGATATTTTTATTTGTTATATATGTTATGCATTTAGTTGAAATATTTTATAAATATATATTTCTGGTATACATAAAAATGGAGTTTTGTGTATTTTTTATTCCTGTGACCTTTCTAATTTAGTAATTTAATATTCTCCTGTAAACTTTTTTTTAGGTATATTCTGCTTGATTTTCTAACAAAAATACTGTTGCCTTTGAATAATTATTGTAATTTAAAAAAATGTTTCCAGTATCTATCTATCATCTATCTATCCATCCATCCATCCATCCATCCATCCATCCATCCGTCATATATGGATTTTTGTCCATCATCGACATCATCTTTAATCATTCATTTTGGTATACATGGCTTTGCCTCATTGCATTGTCTAGGAGGTTCAATACAATGCTTTAAAACATAGCAATGATAATAAACTTCTTGCTTTTTAACTACTTCAGGAGGAAAAGTTCTAACTCTTCACAATTAAATATGATTGCTGTCAAAGTTTAAAAATGCCCTTTATCAAATTTAGAAAACTGCCTTTCTCCCTAATTTTCTGAGGTTTTATTGAAAATAGAAATGGAATATTTTCCAATGTGTTTTATATATCTAATGAGAATTTTTGCTTTACATTTTTCTTTTTTAAGCCATTAGTGCCACAAATTATATTGGTTCATTTTCTAATGTTAAAACATCATTGAATTTTAGTCATCAAAAATTCAAAATGACTTCTCCTATGAAAATAAACATTTAAAAATAGTTCCACAAGTATGCTTGAGACGGGCCTGCATGAATTATGTTCTTATGTAGAATAATGCCCACAATATTTTAGAATCAGCTTCAATTTATAGTGATGGGCAGGTATTGTTAGGGAATGGGATGACCAGGAGATTGGAGCCACAGTTCCCATAAAACTGTTCAAAGTGATTCTTACAGTAAACAAAGATCATGTCATAAAAACAGTGATTATGTAAGCCTAGAAAGGCTACTGTACTTGAAAAGAACATCCCTGTGCTATTCATTTTTTTATTATTATATTATGTTAATCACCATACATCATTAGTTTTTGATGTAGTGTTCCATGATTCATTGTTTGCGTATAACACTCAGTGCTCCATTCAATATGTGCCCTCTTTAATACCCATCACCAGGCTATCCCATCGCCCCACCACCCTCCCTCTAGAACCCTCAGTTTGTTTCTCAGAGTCCATAGTCTCTCATAGTTCTTCCCCCCATCCGATTTCCCCCCCTTCATTTTCCCCTTCCCTGTGCTAATCATTTTTATTCAAATGTGAATAGTACCGCTCTGAGTTTACTGACAAATAAAGGAAGAGTTACATATGTTTATATAACAATGAGTAGCAATTAAACATTTATTTGTTTCAACCATGAAGTGTCCCTTTACTTATATTTAACTGGTAATAGGAAAAGGGGGGAAGGGGACTGTGAACAGTTACTGATTTTTTTCATTGAAGGACACATTATTGGTCTTATAGTGATTTTTTGTTTCAATTTTGTGTATAATATATAGCTAATTCCTAACTACGAGTGAATGTACAGATAGATTCTTTTACAAATGACAAGGAAAACATAAAAAAAAATCATATCAAAGGTTTTTGTATTTCTCGGCTACTCGATGTTTATTTATTATTACAGTTTATGTTACTTGACTATATCTTGAAGATTTCTGTAGTATTTAAATTACTGGCTAGAAAAATATATAGGCTTATGTCTTTTGATTTTTTTTAGAAAAACCATTTAGAAAATATCTAAGAGGGTTTAAAGTTGCTTAACTTGTATTTAATAAATTGTGATGTCAATTAAAAAAGCGGGAAACAGATAAAGTAAATAAAAGAAAGTTATATAGAGTGATATAAGACTTAAACATTGCTAAGTTCTTTCTGAATTTTACAACCAATAATTTATAAATCATAAGAATTAAACTATATGTAATGATTTTTTTGAAATTCTGTTGCATATTTTTATCATCTTAATTTATTTTATATACTTTGATGGTAACTTAAAATAGGATAGACATGTATATGCACGGTCTCACACATATACACACACAAACAAATATAAGGAGTAAATCACTAGTAGTTAATGAATGTTCATTATCAAGCACTGGATGCCATTGAACATTGTAGAATTATCTCAATTCCATAGATTTGTTACTGTTGATTTAAAACAGCTATAAATCTTATAAGAGAGAATAATATTTCCTCAGAAATTTAACTTCCTAATAAATTCACATTAGAACGTTATTGTGAATATTTATAATATTGTTTTTATCCACTTAATTTCTAAGAGTTTGACTTTTTGGATTTTCCACACACTCGGAGAAATTATTTTATGTGATTCATTAATATATTACATTTTCCATCTAGTAGCGAGCAAGGGAGTGATACATTAGAACACTGAAGAGGTATGTTCTGCTTAGAAGTAAATGAAGCATCAATTTAAAATGTGCTTGGAAAAAAATGGGGAAAAAAAACCTAACTTTGTAACTTGTTTTTCTATAAACAAAGTACAGGGTGATCTGTGAGTCAGTGCATTTTCATGATCTTCCTGGTACTCATTTGTATAGTCTAAAGTCTTAAGAGTAAGAATTTCTTTTGGTCAACAACTAACCATAAGATGATTTTGACTACTGCTCCTGAAGCTAGACTAAACAGGTAGTCTAGTTCTGGAATCTAGGGATGGGACACTCCTAGAAAGAAATTAAATGGACACATAGAGAGGAAATGTAGAAAAAGTAAATGGAGGTGTGCACATAGGGTAGTTAAAAGAACAATTCTTGCCCAATACAAACTGAATTGATGGTCCCTAAGAATCCTTTTCTTGGAATAACTGTTTACAATTACTACAGAAATGCCTTTTATTATTTGCTGATTATTTATTGATTTATTTATTATTTTATTGAGATATATTCAACATATACATTGTGTAAGTTTAAGGTCTACTATATGTTGATTTGATACATTTATATATTGTAATATATAGTTACCACCTTGGATTAGCTAGCATCTTCATCACATCATATAATTATCTTTTGTGTGTGTGGAGGGGGGAGACCATTAAGATCAAGTCTCTTGGCAACTTTGAAATATACAATATAATATTGTTGACTATAATTACCATGCTGTGCATTAGCTCTCCAGAACTTACTCATTTTGTAACTGCAGTTTTCTGGGCTTTGATCAACATTTACTCAATTAACCCACCCTAAACCCCTGTTAACCAGCAGTTTACCCTCTGTTTCTATGAGCTCAGCTTTTCTAGATTCCACATATAAGTAATATCTTGTGATAAACGAAATCACATAAGCTATTTGATTCTGTGTTGTTCATGTTGCCATCTTATTGACACAGAACATAATATTTCAATAAATGCAGATTTCCAACAAGACCCATAATGCTATTCTATATTTACATAAAGATGATTAAAAAGCTCAATATTTTTAAAGAAATATGTTTGATTTAAGAATGGAGTTTAAATGTACAAATACTTACATTGTGTTTTATTGATTGTTACTGAATTTCAATGAGAACACTATCAATATCTGGTAGATTTTGCTTTGTACTTTAAAAAAAAAGAGTTCTTCTAAGTAAGTAAGCATTTTATAGAAGGGAATTAAACAGGGAAGATAATTATGCACTTCCTCAACTTGATACTAACTCAAGCACATTTCAATAATTTTTATTAATATTTTATCAACATTCTGTGACTTTTTTGAGTTACAGGTCACAATATGATTTTTAAAGTAAACTGCTTCCAATTCCCTTTTCATTCTTCCACTAATAATACACCTTTGAAAGATCCTGAGTGGATCTTGTAATCGTTTAAGAGTTATAGTTCATTATGGCACAGATCTACATTTTAAAATTCTACATTGCATATAGGAATTAGGGCTATGTTGCATGAGGCTATATTCTCTTTTTTATACAGAATGATATTAGTTTTATAATTCTGAGTAAGGAGGGCTCATCTTTCATTGTATATCATCATCTTGCTTGCTAAAGAAATAATGTTGTATAGATCTGAATGCATTGTTCAATAATACCACATTGTTCAATAATACCACAGTCTTAATTTCTTGTTACTATTTATATTTTCTTCAGGAACATTAGTCATCCAAGTGACAGCAAATGATGCTGATGATCCTTCAAGTGGCAATAATGCTCGTCTCCTGTACAGTTTACTACAAGGCCAACCATATTTCTCCATTGAGCCAACAACAGGTATTTCTGAATGAAATTCAGAATTCAACAGGATTCAAAGTAGGCAAATGTCAGAGCAAAAATCTTCTGCTTATAAACATGTTATACAGTAGACCTGATGTTTCAATAAATAAATTGGTTGTACTTTTAAACATTTAATTCTTTTTAGGCTTTTAGCTGATTTTTCTAACTTTCAGAAATTGAGTTTTCCAAATCTATACCACAAATCATTTGTGTGTAAGGTATAAAACATATGTAAAGATTACAACAAATCAACAGGAAAAAGAAAACCCAATTTAAAAATATGCTGAAAGACATTTAAAACAATTGACTAAAATTTGATATACAAAAAGCCTGCAAGCATATTAAAAATGATTAACCTCAGTAGTCATCATGGAAATGCAAACTAAAACCACATGAGATACACCTTCATACCCAATTCTCTCCAGAGTCAAACATAGGGAGATACTTGCAGTGTCCGTTTAATACATTCACTGTTTTCTATAGTGATTCATATAAAAGATTATACTTGTAAAACACTTTAGTCCACAATTAAAATGCTGTCACAATATGGTCCAATTTATCCTTTTTTGTTTTTACAGGTCTCACAATTTTTTAATGTACACTTTTCCCCAGACATATCTGAGGACTGGCCATTCTCTTTCTTTGTGTTAGTGTTCCCAAAATCTTTAGGCCAGCATCCCCTTGTCCTATGCACCACCTGAAATTTTTCCTAGTTTTCTTTTTTTCAGTGATAACTACTTTTTCCCTAAATAATTTTATAGAAAGTTGATATTTATTACATTTATTATGGTCCATCATGAGTTTGAAAATCTGAGTGTATATTTATCTCTATTGTAGATTATGAATAACTGTTGGTCAAAAACAAACCTTTCTTCACAAATTATGACTTGAAATAGACTTTAACATCACAGGTGCACAATATTTTTTCCATAAATTTGTTGTTGTAATTTATACATTTATTCATAATTAACTTCTTTTAAATTTAAGGGAAAAGTTAATTATAACACACTAATACTATGTTAGAGAAGACAGCAGAAAATAATTTGAGGTAAAAATAAGATATCCCTGTTTTCTACCTGCAGATTTTATTAACATAGTTATTTTATTAAGGGTCTACTAGTGTTCTTAGTATTTGGTGACTATTCTAAACTCCAGGCAGAGTTGGTGTTTATTATTATTATTTTTTTTTCTTCAGGGCAGTGTCTAGCACATTGTAGTGGTTTAAAATGTGGCAAAAGAATGATTATATGATTGAATTCTTAAGAAATTAACTAGGAGGATACCGTGGTTAATAATGAAATAATAATTGAAGTTTTATTACATTTTTAAAGGAGTCATAAGAATATCTTCTAAAATGGATAGAGAACTGCAAGATGAGTATTGGGTAATTATTCAAGCCAAAGATATGATTGGTCTGCCTGGGGCACTGTCTGGAACAACAAGTGTATTAATTAAACTTTCTGATGTGAACGACAATAAACCTATTTTTAAGGAACGTAAGTAGAAAAAATGTTGAATTTTCATTATAACATAATTATACGTATGTCAAATATAAGCAGGTGTTAGCGTTTACATCTAAAGCACTGCAACAGCACTAGAATTATATAAAATAATTTTTAATTATTCTGCGTGATAATTTTTATTAGTGTGAAAAGTCAAATACAAATGAAAGAGTAATGTGTTTTCTTTTAATTGCTTCTGTAGTAATTTCCACAAACTTCATGTCTTAAACAAATTATTATCTTAATGAAATCTGGTTACAGGTGTCACCAGACTAAGTTCAAGGTGTCTGCAGGGCTGTGTTCCCTTCCCAAGGATCCAGGGGAGAACCCATTTCTTTGGATTTGGTTGTTGGCAAAATTCAGTTCTTTATGTTTGTAGGATTAAGGTCTCTGTTTCCTTGATGGCTGTCAGCTGAAGGACACTATTTGCTCCTTAAGGCATCTTTCTGATTCTTGGATATAACTCAAGCACCTGAAACATAGCAAAAGGGGTCAGATCCTACACACACTGTCATCTCTGTGACCCACACTTTTGCCTCTTCTTCACTTTTAAGGACCGATGTGATTAGACCAGGCCCACTTGGGTGAACCCTAAGACAATCTCTGCCTCTCAAGATCAGCTAATTAGCAATATGAATTCCACCTGCAACCTTAATTCCCATTTGCCACTTTGTGTAATATGTTCATAGGTTCTGGGGGATTAGAACACATATATTTTGGGAGATTCATTTTTCTACCTACCACAGTAATGATTTGAAATGATAATATTTTATTTTTTAATTTTAATTTTATTTTTATCCAATATATTAAAACTAAAAACAGAAATAAACACAATTCACCTATTTCTGTATTCACCTATGATTTATATATATATAAATATATATATAATATTTCACATATAAGAGAGATCATATGGTCTTTGTCTTTTTTGACTTATTTCACTTAGCCTAATGCCCTCGAGGTCTATCCATGTTCTTGCAAATGACAAGATTTCATTCTTTTTTATGGCCAAGTAATATTTGTGTGTGTGTGTGTGTATCATAACTTCTTTATCCATTCATCCACTGATGGACAGTCAGGTTGTTTCCGTATTTTGGCTATTGTGAATAATAATGCAATGAACATGGGAGTGCAGATATCTTTTCTAATAGGTGTTTTCATTTTCTTCGGATGGATACCCAGAAGTGCAATTGCTGGATCCTAAGGCAGTTCTACATTTAATTTTTCAAAAAACCACCATACTGCTCTCCATAGTGGCTGCCCCAATTTACATTCCCACTAACAGTGCACAAGGGTTCCCTTTTCTACACGTCCTCACCAACACTTGTTATTTCTGGTATTTGAATAATAGCCATTCCAACAGGTGTGAGATAATATTTCATTGTGGTTTTGATTCGCATTTCCCTGATGATTAATGATACAGAGCATTGTCTCATGTACCTGTTAGCCGTCTGTATGCCTTCTTTGGAAAAATGTCTATTCAGATCTTCTGCCCATTATTATTATTATTTGATACTGAGTTCTATGAGTTCCTATATATTTTGGCTATTAGTCCCTTATCAGATATATGATTAGCAAATATTTCCTCCCATTCAGTAAGTTGCCTTTTCATTCTTTTGATAGTTTCCTTTGCGTGCAGAAGCTTTTTAGTTTGATATGGTCCACTCATTTTTTCTTTTGTTGCTTTTGTTTTTGGTGTCAGATTAAAAAAAAAATCACCAACATCTAGGTGAAGGAGCTAACTGCCTGTGTTTTCTTCTAAGAGTTGGTTTCAGGTCTTAGTTCAAGTCTTTAATCCATTTTGAGTTAATTTTTGTATATGGTTAAGACAATGGCTCTGTTGCATTCTTTTGCATTTGGTTGTCCAATTTTTTCAACACCATTTATTAAAGAAACTGACATTTTGGGGCACCTGGGTGGCTCAGTCGTTAAGCCTCTGCCTTCAGCTCAGGTCATGATCCCAGGATGCTGGGATCAAGCCCCGCATTGGGCTCCCTGCTCAGCGGGAAGCCTGCTTCTCCCTCTCCCACTCCCCCTGTATTCCCTCTCTCAATGTGTCTCTCTCTGTCAAATAAATAAAATCTTTATTAAAAAAAAAAGCAACTGACATTTTCCTATTGCATATTTTTGGCTCCTTTATCATAAATTAACTGGCCATATATGTGTGGGTATCTTTTACTTTTGTAGCATGAATAGGCCCCAACTGCTCTGATAATTTGAGTTGTAAATACAACTTAAATCACTTGGTGTGCTTCAGAAGGAATTTCTTGTGAAATTCTTAGGAGAAATTATTTTTTTTCTTAGGATTCCCCTCCCCCCTCTGAGGATTCTGTCTTAGCTACAGAAATACATTTACAAGCAATTTTAGAAATCATGAGCAATTATCATGATAGGAGGAATATATAAGCATGTATCAAAGAGAAAAGTAGATCTCTCTCTCTCTCTCTCTTTCACACACACACACACACACACACCCCCCTAAATGATGCAGATGGGATTCAGTTCAGCTAATTTGTGGCAGGCCCAGAGTTATCAGATCTTCTGACTTTTCAAGAAATATTAGAAATCTGGATGTTTATTTCTGTGCTATTGTCAAATTTTAAATTTTTCAGGTTAATGTGGCCATTTTTTAAAAAATAAAAATGGTATATATTTAAGGTATACAACATGATGTTTTGATATCATATACATAGCAGAATCATTACTACAGTCAAACTAACTAACATATCCATCTCCTCACATTGTTACTTTGTGTGGGTATGTGTGTGTGGTGAGAGCACCTGAGAAGTTCTCTCAGTAAATTCCCATTATACAATATAGTATTATTAACCATAGTCACTAAGCTGTACACGGGATTTTGAAACTTATTCATCCTACATCATTGCAGCTTGTACAATTTAAGCCACACGTCCTCATTTCTTTATGAGTAAATGAAACAGCTCCTCTTTGGATGGAATTTAGGCAACAAGGCAGCAGTTTGTGACCTTCATCTTCATGTTATAAAATGTATTATCTCTACAAAGTGTGTGTCCTAACGACAAGAAGGTGATGTGTAATTAAATCTGAAATACCCAGGACTTCATAAAATGACTGCCAGATACTAAATGTAGAAAAGTAGCAGGTGAATATATTGAATAAATCTAGTCTATGTTTTATTCAGATGAAGGTGAATAATAAGTTGAGGACTCACGAAGGCAGTTCCCCCAAGGAATGTTTGTTGAGACAAGAATGTCCTTGAAGCTCTGCTCCCATCCTTATTTCTTTTCATTTTTCTCAACTTCAACATTATTTATATATATATATACACATATATATATACTTCAGTGTGCATATATAATTATATAACAATGTGTGCATATAATATATAACTATGTGTCTATGAACATTGATAAACAATCTATAATTATAAATAACAATGTATATATATATGTATGTATTGATACATATCTGAATAAGTTAGAATATTTAAAATACTTTCTAAAATTCTTATAGCTACCCAGACCCCTCATGTAAGATGATAGCATTACTACTTTCTTTTTTTTTTTTTTTAAAGATTTTATTTATTTATTTGTCAGAGAGAGACAGCGAGAGAGGGAACACAAGCAGGGGGAGTGGAGAGGGAGAAGCAGGCTTCCACAGAGCAGGGAGCCTGATGCGGGGCTCGATCCCAGGACCCTAGGATCATGACCTGAGCCGAAGGCAGACACTTAACAACTGAGCCACCCAGGCGCCCCAGCATTACTACTTTCAAATTTGAGTGTGGGTGAACATGATTCTAGCACCATAAAGTTACCTCACTCTTTAAAATAGTTTTCTCTATTTCCATCCCACACCATAATTATGTGAAAATATGTGTATTGACTATTCTTCCAGAACAGAAGCATGCTGACCTCCTTACTCTTGTTCAAACTGCTTTCCCTTATTGTAATCCCATTATCCTCCTCTCATTTTAAATATTTAATACATATCTCCTCTGATATGTACAACCTCCCCTCACCTCTCAATCAAGGGTATCCACACTGTCTGTTAATGACTATTAACATTCAAAACATGTGGTTGTTGTTTTCATCTTAAAAACAGAATAAAATAAATACATTATTGACTCCACTTCCATATCTAGCTAACCATGCTTCATTTTCTTTTCTTTTAGAGAAAAGAATTTTTAAAGTGTTGTCAAACTCATCAACCTATTTACTGTCTTTTAAACTCTTTGGAGCCCACTCCAGTTCAGTTTCATCCACGCTACTTGACCAAACTGATCTGGTCAATTCTATCAATCTATGTGCAACTAAATCTCAGTCCTAATATAGTGTGATTTTTCAGCAGGGTTTGACAGGATTACTCCATTCTCATGTACTTTATTGTCTATCTCACTGGTCACTTTTTAATAGTCTTCCTTTGTCTTCACCTCTACATACTGTAAACTTTAGTGTATTTCTGCTATCAAGCCTTAGGACCTCATTTCTCTTCCTTTTGCATTCACTCCTTGATGTTCTCATCTGGCCTCAAGACTTTAAATGCCACCTCTATGCTGACAACCCCCAGATATATACCCCCAGTATGAGCCTCTCCAATGAACCCCCCCCATGTGGATATCCAACTGTCTACTCAATATCTTCATTTATATGTTATATACATTTAAACTTGACATATATTTGAGTTCTTGATCATGCCTGCCTCCTCCTCCAAACCTCTTCTTTTTACAGCTTTTCCCATTTCAAAGACTACCAAATCCAGCCTTCACATTGCTCAGGGCAAAATCTCACCCATTCAATTCAAATTCAGTTCAATTCAAACAATTCAACTTGGATTACACTGGGTCAAATCTAGGTCAATTCTAATTTCTAACTCAGACTGAATCGATGATCAATTCGGCACAATTCCTGCTAGTCCCTGATTTTCAGTATTCTGTGAGTACACACACACACACACACACACACACACACAATCTCTCCTGATAATAGAAACTTACTTTGTTTAAGGATTTTGAAGTCAGCTTCCCCTCTGTTCTTTCTCTCATATCCAAAATTCAGTCCTCTGCAGATACTGTTGGCTCTACCTTTTAAAAATATCCATAATCTGAACATTTCTCACCAATTTTATTTACAACCTTGGATCATGCTACCCTCTTAATTTGTCTCCATTATTACCATAGGCTCCCATCTAGTCTCTCTGCTTTTGTTCTCCTCTGATCGACTTCCGACACAACTTCAGTGATCTTGTTGTAATGCAGGTCAGATCATATCACTTAAATGTCTTACCATGTCACTCAGAGAAAAAGTCACAGGCCTTAATATAACCTCCATTGTCCTAAATAATTTGCCATCATCCAGTCCTGTTCCATTACCTCTAGGAGATCATGTACTAGCATTATACTCCTTGTTCATGGACAAACCAACACCAGGCAATTGACCTACTCTCTGTCACTGGAAAACTTCAGCCACTGGTTTTGTGGCCTTTTGGCTTGCTCTTCCCACTTCCTGAAATTCTGTTTTCTCACGTATACATTTTCCCACAATGAAAAAACAAAACAACAACAACAAAAACCACTTTGCATCAGAGTTAAGCTGTTACTTCCTGAAAATAGTAAAAATATTGGCAACTTTTAAGTAACATTTCTCCCATGTTAAAAAGGAGAGGACATCTCACAAGGCAATCTGTGAAGTGACTTGCCATATTCTATCAGTAATCTCTTTAAGGAAAAATTTTATTATGTGCTTCTTTTCTAAATTCTACAAAGTTTCACTTTTTCTTTTAAAGATTTAATTTATCTGAGAGAGAGAGAGAGAGACCATGAGCGTGGGGAGGGGCAGAGGCAGAGGGAGAAGCAGGCTCCTCGCTGAGCAGGGAGCCGGACATGGGACTCTAGGTGGGGCTCAATCCCAGTACCCTAAAATCAGGACCTGAGCCGAATTCAAATGCTTAACTAAATGAGCCATCCAGGCCCCCAAGTTTCATTCTTTAGAATATTGATATATATGATTATTTCCTACATTTTAACATAAACCACAAATAATAATTTACAAATAGCTAACTCTTTATCAGTTTTATGCAAGTTACTTCTGAAAAATAAAGGAAACAAAGCTTGATTATTTTTACTTACATCTATGTATTTCAAATATAACTGCCATTGTTTTCACGTGACCGAAACAATGGGGTCATCTGAGAAGCTCATGGTTTTCCTACTTCATCCACTCACTAACTCCTGTGGATCCACTTTTTTTTTTTTTCCCCCCTCATTTCCACTATGGTCAACGCACTCAGGCTCAGAATCTAAAAATCAAACTATTACCCTTAGAGCTACTTGTTTGCTTTATTCTCTCCCATCTCTAATCCACACTTACATTTACGAGTAACTCTAGATATCAGAGAATGCTTAAATGAAATTGAAAACTATTTTTATCAAGTTTAATTGGGACGGTTGAATGATATAATAAAAAAATCCAAAAATATCAACAAAGTATACATATGAATAGAAATTTGGAAATTATATGTACTGGTGCTAAGACTCCCTAAGTTATATTTGAGAGACATTAATAGATGCTCAACTAGGATGTTTGGGAAATACAAAATACAGATCACAAAAATAAAGAAGAAGAGATAGACAGATAGATAAATAGATAGATGATAGATAGATACTGATTTAGAATAAGTAACTGGTAGAAAGTGAGAGTATGGGTTTTCCCATAGTCCACAAAAATGGGGTGCTAAAATTGGAAATTTCTTATGTTTATTATTTGTGTGAAATATCTTGAATTTTGTTTTTAAAGGTTTATACCGCTTGACTGTTTCTGAATCTTCACCCGCTGGGACTTCAATAGGAAAAATCATGGCATATGATAATGATATTGGAGAGAATGCAGAAATGGATTACAGCATTGAAGATGATTCACAAACATTTGACATAATTACTAATAATGAGACACAAGAAGGAATAGTTATATTAAAAAAGGTAGATATATTTTCAATATTTACTTTGCAGAAGAATACAAAGTCAAATCAGAAATACATATAATTATTTTGTGTAGCCAGTTAGTTATTGCTTCATTAAGTAATTGAAATGAGAACCTGTGATTTATGATTTAGGGAGCAAAGGAACTTAGAGATGAGACAGAGTTATTACAAAGTCTCAAATTATTGTAGAACAGTTTTTTATTATGCTTTTAAAGATTTTTAGAGGACAAACGTTTTGGAAAGATATTAAATAAAAAAATTAATTCTCAATTCCATAGGATATTTATGCCCAAACAAGTATAATTTTAATCCTAAAAATATATAGTTACTATTCTAAAACATTTTATAACAGACATAAATAACAAAACACAGGGATTTGCAATGCAGCTGCTTAATGATAATATTAGAGGGATCAAACCAAGTACATAAGAAGCGAAATCTGACTAAAAAGCAACTGAGACTTAATAACCCAACCTTTTTTCTAAATAGTGCCTTGGGTTACTGAAGCCATTTCTTCTTCTGTACACTGTATTTCTTTGTAGAAAGTGGATTTTGAGCACCAGAACCAATATCGTATTAGAGCAAATGTTAAAAACTGCCATGTTGATGAGAAGCTCATGGAATACCATGTTGAAGCTTCCACCACTCTCATTAGGGTCCAGGTGGAAGATGAAGATGAACCTCCTGTGTTCCTCCTCCCATATTACCTATTTGAAATCTTTGAAGAAAGCCCACATGGATCATTTGTAGGCATGGTCTCCGCCATAGATCCAGATCAGAGGAAATCTCCTATCAGGTATGTTTGGGAGGCCAGCTTCGTATTAATAAATGAGTGAATACAAATTAGGCTGAAAATAAAATTTCATAGAAATGTAATAAAGATAAATCTGTATTTCTCTATATGGTACTTATTAAGTTTGCAACAATTTAAACCAGTTAAAACAGGGAGCTCACTATTGATAAAGTTGTAGTGAAATAAGCAATTGCAGTCGTAAAAGAAATAGGCAATCACGAACCAAAATTCAATGAAATCAACTCTACTCATTTGGGGTAAGTAGTGAGGGAAAAGAAACAGTTGATTATGCCAAGTCAGAAGCAAAGCTGACCAAAATGCACTCCATTTAAATACTGCTTAATATTCAAAAATTGAGAAAGCTTTCCCAAGATACCACTTAAAGTAGTAAAAATGAAATAAATTCAATCGGTTAGAAATAGTTTCTGTATTGCAATTAAACAATGCTTATCATCTATTAATCTAGTCTGTTATTTTCAGATACTATATTTTCATTTTTTTTCAGTAATTGACTGTAGACCTGGTTAGGCATAAAAACCTGCTACGTTTCCTTCCACCACCTTCCCTACTCATCTGCTCTCCACACTTCACAGTTCTGAGAATTTTACAAACTTCCATGTATTTATTAAGATGCTGGCTACTTGGGCTCCTGGGTGGCTTAGTCGTTAAGCATCTGCCTTTGGCTCAGGTCATGATCCCAGGGTCCTGGGATCAAGCCCCACATCAGGCTCCCTCCTCAGCGGGAGGTCTGCTTCTCCCTCTCCCACTCCCCCTGCTTGTGTTCCCTCTCTCGCTGTGTCTCTCTCTGTCAAATAAATAAATAAAAATCTTTAAAAAAAAAAAAAAGATGCTGGCTACTGCTTTGCACTTTGCAGGGGCTATGATACAAAGAAGCTTCTTTAAATTTTTGAGACAGAGGAATGATCCCACTTTTCCAGTGTAATTCCTAATCATAAAACACTGACTTCTGATATGTAGATATAGTTCTTATTTAGTAATAGTACTTTTAGTAATTAATGTAAGCATATGTGTGGTATATATATACATATATATATGTATATATATAAAATTATAATTATAACCCAGTAAATGAATTCTTTAGATTTTTTAAATTGGTATATCTATTCACCTATGTATTGTTCTTCTGAGAATACTAAAGAATACATAATTTTAAAAAAAATGCTTTAAGGATTAAGATGTTTATTATATTATTATTTATAATAATAAAGTGTTGGAAACAATTTAAATATCTAATCATAGTGTAATTAAGACAATGATGATAAATGCTTAACAATGATGCTTATGAACATAGCTAAAAACATGGCATGATTTGAAAATAATACAGAATCACTAGAGTTGTATATTTACTACCAGTAAAAATATTACCTATCTTTGAGTCAAATAAGTGAACCACACCCAAATATTAGCAGGGGTTATGTGTTTTATAGCATCACTATTGGTGGTTACTTTATTTTCTACCAAGAATATTTTAGCTAATATTTTTTACCTTATACTGAAATTAATTCCTTAAAATTTTTTGTTAGTACCTAACAAAAGAATACTTTTTAAAATGTCTTTTATGGACATTGTTTCATTTAGAGGTGCCTTTTAAATAAGACTGCTTTTCATGTTTATTAGGATGAAAATAGCCCCTTGAACACATTTCAGTAGGTACGCCCCCTCCATTTTTTTGTTTGTTTGTTTGGAGCAAAAGATCCAAAACATATTTGAAATCAAATGCTAAATGATTTCAATTTGAGTTTTAATGTGATATATCTTCCTTAATACTCACTACATGGCAAGAAATATGGAAACCAAAGGAAATTAAAGGGTATTCTATTTTACTCTCAGGGGTATTCTCTGCTTGGGGGAAAGAAATTAGCACATAGTAAACAAATTACATTATATACAATTCAAATAACTCATATTATTTAGTTTTTCCTTCCATGTAAGAATTACCTGGTATTTCTCCAAAGTATGGAGATTCCCAGTCTGTTTCAGCAAGTCTTGGGTGAGATAAACTGGCTTAACAAATTGTTCTTGCCATTGTTGTCATTGTTAAGTGCAGAAAAGCATGAGAAAATATGCCTTGAAATGAATTATAAGTTTTGTGGTAAATGTTTAAGAAAAATGAGGTGCAGGTATGAAGAAAGAATGCAATAATTAGACCTGAAATTGATCAGTCTTCAGCAAGACAACCAAGCGGGGCGGGGGGGGGAAGAATGGACAAATTTAACATTACCAAAAATGAAAAAAGTGAACACAACTTTTGATCCCATAGACATTAAACAATATTATAGGGAAATGCTATGAATGACTCGAAGCCCATGAATTCAGACCAATTCCTTGAAATTCCTTCAAGGAACGTACCAATATTCACATAAAAAGACAAATAACCTGAATAGTCATGTGTGTGAGAAACGGGAAGAGCTTTGTGGGTATTCGGGAATGTCAGGAGTGTTCTCCTGTGGAAGAGGCTGTCTTTAAACATCTTTCATCTGTATTCTAACGGAAGCCCTTAAAAATCCTTGAAACACCCAGTGGATCTGCAGCCTACTTGGAAAAGTCCAGCTTTTGTATATAGGGGTTGGGTCTTATGTGTCTCAGTTGCTTTGTCTGTAAAGTGGGAACAGTACTTTTGTAGAGGCATGTGAGGATTAAGAACCAGAGGCACAGACAGAGGCACAGCATGCATGGAAGAACCATTTGTTTATCATTCAGGCAAGAGCTGTTGGCAATGGGAACAGAGCGCACAGTCACATCGTATTCATTCAGCATTTTTGTAGGAATGAAGAGTTCCATAAAAAGGAATTCCAAAATGAACCAAACATCAAAACTTCACATTTTAAGCTTTTTAGCTCAAGCTCTTTCTAAAATGTATAGCACACATCTTTCCTAGTTACTGATGACACAAGGTCATGATTTTTAAAAACTTTTATTTGAAAATTATGTCAAACATTTGACTGGTTTTATTTGGAATGGCTTATTATAGAAACAGGATATTCTAGATGTTTAATACAAAATATTAACTGTTAAACTACTGTTGCTCTTTGTCAACAAATCTCTTAGGAAATGTGACCATTTGTGGATATGTCAGTAAACTGCTTATAAAGTTTTAAAATGGGGTGGAGTTAAAACCAAATTCCTCTGAAGCTTAATTCTCTGTAATTTCTATTTTAATTCTCCCCTGAACACCAGTCTACAAATCAGTGTGGTATTTTTAGAGACCTGTCAATTCAAGATTAAAATATTCTCATCTCCTGCCACATAATTATGGCAAACCTCATTGATGTCTCATCAAAGTCTTCAGGAATATACGTGCAATGAGAAGTCATCATTGAACCCAAGTTATTACTCTTCTTTAATTTTTATTATTAATCATTTGCAAGCAGATAAGACATGCTGAGTACTTCAAAGGCTCCTTTCATTGTGGAGTTTGAGATCATTTTTCAGGCTTTTGCATGAGGGAATTTTATTATCTGGCTTCTTTCCATGCACATTCTAACAGCATATTCCATCTGCTATCATTACTTTTGGGGGATCTACACACACACACACATCTCATTTTTATTAAATATTATCCAAGCGTTTTCTTTAAACAAACAAACCCAAACATTTCTCATATGTCCGCAATCAGGTAATTATAATATAATGTACACATTTAGCAAGCATCCATATGGTGTAGGAAAGAGACTTAGCAGTTTAGGGTGAGGATATGCTTTGTGTTGCTTCAAAGGTAAAAAAGGTTAACAAGCAGTAATTTTTACCGCTATTTATTTATACTTCTCTTAATTTTGCAAATGACATTTTACCATTTCTTTTTAGCTAAATCATTCACTTATTAAAATTTTCTTTTGGGATTGAGAATGAATTACATGCGTTTAGATTTAGCATACATCAGTTTAAATCTGAGACCATTTTAGCGTAATTTTTTTCTTTTTAACCCTCACTGAGTTGAATCTTAAATATATGCATGCACCTTTCTAAAAATTGTTCAGCATTACATTTGCTTATATTGAGCATGCATTTAATTTGTCTAATTGCCTCAAAAAGGTTTTATGTGTCACAGTTACACAGACAAAATAATAAAATTAAGGAATACCCTTTTTTTTTTTGGTGCAGGTATTCTATGACCAGAAGCAAAGTGTTCAGTATTGATACCAACGGCACAATCATCACAACTAACCCTCTTGATCGAGAGATTAGTGCTTGGTACAACCTAAGTATTATAGCCACAGAGAAATGTAAGTACTCATTTAGGATCACACATTGATAAAGCATATATTTAAACCATTCAATAATCTCCAAATGTAGGGACAGAAGCTAGCTTAAAATTTGTTGGAATTGGAGTTAAATTATATATACGTCAATTCATATATGTGTATTTTATTTTATTACTTTAGATTACCAATGTCTGTTCATTCCTATTATAGTTTATTTATATACTTACCACTAAATACTTTAAGATTTTTTATTATGACAAACTGAATATAAATTTTGAAAGATTTTTTAACTGAGATATATTTAATATATATTTTCTATGGGTTCTCTTTTAAGTTATGAGTTTAATGAAAAAAGAGTCTTATATACAGTATCCCCCCAAAAAAATCGACCCTTAAAAAAATACATATAGATGGAAAGAAGTTATAATACTTATTTCATAGGAATCTTTCCCTTAGAGAAAATTTTTTAATTTAGAGAAATGTTTAATTAATGTTATACATTCTTTTACTACTATCTAAGGAGTAGTAAACCTAATGAGTGAGAATTAAAATTTTAAATTTAAAGTAATTTAAAATTGACTAGTAATATCATACCCTTAACCATAATCAGTTTAGACTGACTGTATTAGTTCACAAGGGGACTATTCTAGAAATAAAACACAGAATGCCTGTGCCTTGTTCTATTTCTGGAACAAAATGTTAGCTATACTCTTGGACATTAGGGACAGGGTAACACTTCTTTTTTTTTTTTTTAAAGATTTTTTATTTATTTATTTGAGAGAGAGAGAATGAGAGACAGAGAGCATGAGAGGGAGGAGGGCCAGAGGGAGAAACAGACTCCCTGCCGAGCAGGGAGCCCGATGCAGGACTCGATCCTGGGACTCCAGGATCATGACCGCAGCCGAAGGCAGTCGCTTAACCAACTGAGCCACCCAGGCGCCCCCAGGGTAACACTTCAACACAGCCTTTTAAAACTTTAAGCATTTAAAAATAATCATATTTCAATGAAGCTATGGGAAAGAATATGAAGGGTTCAAACGACAAACATTCACTGGTGCATTACAAACAGTCAGACATTTTCAAATTAAGCATACAGTGGAAGCTGTGCTAATAGTCACGTCTTCAGTAATCAGTGGGGACCAATTACTGTTGTTGTGTGTTTTTATTTTTTGGTTTTTAGTTTTTGTTTCCAGAGATAGGCAGATGAGGGGCACCTGGGTGGCTCAGTCGTTAAGTGTCTGCCTTTGGCTCAGAGATAAGCAAATGATTCCATTTTCAGGGTGTAAAAAGTAGATAAAATCATCCTAATTTACTACTTGGATAGTGTCTTCAAAATTATCAATTAATTTGGTATTAAGTCAACCATATTAACAAATTTAAGCTCAAAGGAATAGATATAACACAATATAAAAGATTATCAAGATCATCCCCTTTATTTAATTGATGAGTTTATTGTAGTTGGGTAAATAATTAAATTTGTGAATATGAAATGTTCTAGAATGCATCCTTTATAACTGATTTTGCGTAAATTTTAATAATCTCTTTTACTTTTCTGGCTTTTTTTTTTAAACCTTTAAACATATATCTTATTCTTACATATTGAGCAGTGGCTGGGGATATGGTGGAGTGGAAAGCATCTCTTGCATATTTTTTTTGTCATGCATTGAATAGCTCTATGGAAACACTACAGGAGGACTGAGTCTGGGTTTTGAATTTTCCATTTAACTTAACAACAAAGACTGAGGTGCAAATGTCTGCTGCAACAGAAGAAATGCAAGGCTCTTGGTGTCACAAAACACAAAGATGCTTATTCTAAAAGCAAGAAGCTTTTATTCATTGGGTTTTCTGAGAACAAATTATTTATAATATCACTATTTACAAAACTGTTGAGAAAAGGCATTCAAATCAGTTCAAGGGAAGGTTGGGTATCTTTGAAAAATGTATTTCTCTATAAAATGGTTTTTTAGCTATTACAAGAGCATGTTTTAATAAATGTATATAAACTGTAAGCTTATTTTATATACAAGGTGGAATTTTTGTAAGAATATATCATTTACTTTTTGTTAAATTAGGCTGCAATATGAGTTATTAGAAAGCAGAATCTTGAAAATGTATTATGTGTATTCTGAGACAAAAAACATTCTAATATTTTATGAATGAATAGAAAAAAAGGATGAATGAGTGATTGGTATGAAAAGTTTGTAAGATAAGCCAATTATACTTGAATCCCGTTAATTCCATAATTACTTTTATCAAAAAGTTGTCATGAAGATCTTTAAAGAGACATTGTTTGAAGTATTTTTGTGTTGACCCCGCCCTTTTTTAAGACAGTGGAAGTAAATTGTAGCATCACAAAATGAAATAAAAACAGTCACACAAATCTCTGGGTTGCATGATAGCTACTGTCCCAAAAAGTTATTAATTCAACATATGTATGTATATTTGCATATATACTACAAAGTATATTATTTAATCAGTTTAATTATCTCACTACATACTGTGTTCAGAGGTGATACCCAAAAATTCAGTGACCAGCACAACAGAAATAATAAGATGAGACTTGAGATCTTTCTAAACTATTGCTCCTTACCAGTTGATCTATAGATTTCACCTTATTAAGGAAAACAGTGGCTCCAAATGTTCTCTGTAACGTACTTATATATGTGAGTGGGTGTGGGAGCATATAGTATTCAGGCGATAGAACTGTTTCAATTTGTAGTTTACAATATTACTTATTACATAGGCTTGCACTAAGGACCATAGATATTATAATGGTGTATATATTGAGGAAAATAAAGATACAACAATGACAATAAAAACTGGATACCGTTTGTGATTCACAGGGGAAAAAAATTCTAGCTTTGTCACTTCTTGTATTTTTAGATATTTCTTTATAAAATACATATTTTGCAAGCTGTTGTGAGTATTGGTGAGTTTTCAGGAATTACATGTTATTAAATAGATTTCTTTTATTGCATATAAATATGTGTATGATTATGAAAGTATATATATGCCTATATACTTTGTGTAAAATTCTACAGTTAGTAGCATTTTTATAGCTCTTAATACAGATTTGAAGCAAACGTTATTTCTGTTTCAGAGAAGATGAATTTGACACTTATGCAGTTTATTTGCCCAGCTCCTAAGTGATGAAGCCAGGGACTGATCACAATTGTATCTGATTCCAAAGCCTGTCTTAATCCTATGCCACACTGTTTCTTACTGAGAATGTGAGAAATGATACTTGCTTCTGGTGTTTTCTGGTTTAAATATATGCACAATAATCTTAACGAAGTTTCATTTTTCTATTTTTCTCTTTAAAAATAAAGTTTAATTACAAAGGTATTTCAATTAGTGACTCAAACGTAATGTTTAAATCAGTTCATGTTGTGTGACCTCCTCAGAGCCAAACAACTGATAATCTCTATAAGTACATTAGCTAAATTCTCCTCTGATACATGTTCTGACTCTGCTCTGAGGTGTGCTCATCGCATTCTGTTGCTATTGTTTGTCCATGTTCATTTGTTGATGAAATCATGTGTGGCTGGTGACGTTATAGTCATTGAAGGGGAGTTTAGGAGATGATTACCTTTTTGAATAGATTTTGAAGAACAGTGTCCTATTGTGCAAAAGTATGTTAATAGCATGGTTTTTTTTGGCGGGGGGGAATGCCTGGGTGGCTCAGTCGGTTACGCATCTGGCTTGTGATTTTGGCTCAGGTCATGGTCTCATAGGTCATGTGATCAAGCCCTGACTGGGACTCACACTCAGTGGGGAGTCGGCTTGAAGTTTCCCTCCCTCCGTCTCTCCCCCACACACACACATATGTGCATGCATGTGCATGTGCACGCACGTGCTCTCTCTCTCTGTAATAAATAAAAATCTTTAAAAAAGACATTTTTTAAAATAAATTTTCTCTTGAAACTTTAAAGCCAGAATATATTTATATTATAATAATTGTTTTATATTTGAAGATAGCAAAATAAAACACATGTAAACATTTAAAAACAATAAATTAGGGTCACCTGGGTGGCATAGTCAGTTGAGCATCTGGCTCCAGGTTTTGGCTCAGGTAAAGATCTCAGGATCCTGGAATCAAGCCCCACAGGCTCCACACTCAGCAGGCAAGTCAGCTTGAGAATTCTCTCCCTCCCCCTGCTCATGCATGCTCTCTCCTTCTCCTTCTGAAATACATAATAAATCTTAAAAAAATAAAAAATAAAAACAACAAATTAGTGGACTTAAAAACATTTTAATTCTTTTGAGGAAAAACAAGTAAATAAGGTTTCAAAGTGAATTCAAGGGACAAAATAGAATAAAACAAGAAGTTTAATAGATATGTAATTTTAGATACAGAATTTCATAAAATGTGATTAGATCAACATTGAAGTTGGTCACTTGATGCAAAAATTATCAATTTAGTAAATTTTTAAACTTAAAATTTTGTGGATTATAGAGTATTATAATAAAACAAATAATTTATAGGGATGCCTGGGTGGCTCAGTTGGTGAAACATCTGACTCTTGATTTCTGCTCAGGTAATGATCTCAGGGTCCTGGGATCCAGCCCAGCATGGGGCTCCTCATTCAACAGGGAGTCTGCTGGAGATTCTCTCTCTCTCACTCCCTCTGCCACCCATCCCCCCCGGCCCATGCTCACACGTGCTCACCCTCATTCTCTCTCAAATAAATAAATAAATCTTTAAAATAATGACAATAATAATAATAATTTATAAATAAAAGAAGATTAAAAATGCAGTCAAGGAAAACAAACTTGTAAATGCCTGTGAAAGGCAAACTGAAAATAAACTGAATATATTTATTTTACACAGAATTTAATACTTAGAAGTTAATCACTGTTTCAGAAATAAGTGATTAGAAATGTTATCAAGTACAGGAATTATACAGTTCATGCTGTTCTGCTCCTGGCATTTTAAATCAGTTTTCTTAGAATTAAAAATAGTACTTTTAGATAAAAGAGATGATATTCCCACTATTATTTTTATTATAAAGCTGAAAAATTACAGTATGGGGAATGAAATTCCAAAATAAAATATAATTAGATAAACATTTTCAGAAAGCCACAAAGTTAGTGTATATTTAACTCATTGTTGGGAAGATTTTTTGAATTTTTTGTTTCAGTTTAAGAAAAATTGGTTAGAAGAAACTTTTTTAACACCAAGTAACCAATTTTCATGTACTTTTTCTCTCTGGGATTTTTTTTTTTTAATACTCGTTATATATTTTGGAATCGACAGGTTGATTAACGTACATCCATCACAGTGAATGGCAACATGCCAGGAGTTCTGTAATTACCATTATCTTTCTTTTTTTTTTTAGGATTCACTTTTTTCTTTAATTTTATTTTATTATGTTATGTTAATCATCATACATTACATCATTAGTTTTTGATGTAGTGTTCCGTGATTCATTGTTTATGTGTAACACCCAGTTCTCCATTCAATACACGCCCTCTTTAATACCCATCACCATGGGATTTTTTCTTGTTTCACATCATTAACTCATTTTAGAACAGTTTTGGAGAAAATATTTGTATGTGCCAATTTCTTATTAATGTGGTATCAATATCAAAAATAATTGCTTGAGGGGTGCCTGGGTGGCTCACTTGGTTAAGTGTCTGATTCTTGGATTCAGCTCAGGTCATGATCTCAGGGTCCTGGGATGGAGCCCCAAGCTGGACTCTGCACTGCAGGGAGTCTGCTTGAGATTCTCTCCCTCTGCTCTCTCTCTCTTTCTCTCTCTCTAAAATAAATAAATAAATCTTTAAAAAAAAAATTTTTGACCATACAGGTCTCAATAGTAATATGAACAAACAACCTGAATGGTGGAAAACTGAGAATCACAAAATTGTTACAAACACTTGCCGCACAAGGTGAATAACTTGAAACTTTTGTGTAACAGTTATGCTGATTATAGGAAAGAGATGTTCCATTTTAACATTTGTTTCCCCAGGAAATGAAGTTCATTGTATTCAGTCTCTTTCCTGGAAACTTTCCCAAATTAAGCACCAAGCTATTTATCAGCATGCCAGCTAAGTGAATAAAACTACTAACTACTTTTAAATGAAGCTGTGAAAACATATGTATGTTTTGTACAGTCATAACAATTTTAATTTAAACTTAAATTTAAACAGATTTTCCAGGAAAAATATAAAAACTTTAAATGAATTTCTTACTATTTTTTAAAGTATTTGCGTGTGAAATACTTTCTCCGTTTTAATGACTTAAGCAAAAAGTTGTTCTGTGGGTATATATTATATGTGTAAGCCATAAAAAATATAAGCCTTAATTTTTGAGTAATTCTATCTTGAAATCTCTAGAAATAGCTATATCTTAATGTTTTATTTATCTATTTTTATCCTAAGCATAACACAATAGAGAAGAGTCTCAAGATGATAATTCTTACGATAGGTCTTAAGATGATAAATACTAAAGGCCAGATTTTTTGGTATGTAATAAACCTTGCAAATTATAATTCTTAATCAATTGGAAATTAAAATTTCTGTCATAATTGCAACTGCTATTTATTGGAAAAACAATTAGAAACAGGCTCCTCCCACCCCAGAAAAACAACTCCATAATAGTGGAATGGAGAGAAAACAGTTTTATAATTGAAAAGCATTCAAACAGAATTTGATGTGCATTACAGGAATCTGCTGAGATTTCCAAGTCAGAAAGAAATTTCACCCTATTATAAAATCAAGCATCATGTTCTCATGGTAACCAAATGCTAGCCTTCAAGTAGGGAGACTTAACACCATGTGTCACACATAATGCACTCTGTTTTTGCTAACTGACTTTATCCAAAGGAAAACTAAATTTCTCAGATTTTTATGACAAGAAGTAGTTTTGAATTTTGGTCAAAGCCTTTGCTGAAACAAGGCTCCTATCCTCCAACAGAAACTGGGAGAAAGGAGTGTCATTTTCCTTGATAATTATATTTCAAAGAGTTGGCTCCCAGTACTTGAGAAAGACAAGCCTGGGTTGTGAAGTTGACATTTATTCAGTTTTTAAAAGGTTTATATACATTAAAAAAAATAGAGAGAGAACTTAAATTACAAGTTTCCAAAAGTAAATGCTTTAAGAAGAAGAAAGAGGGAAAATCTTTTCCCTTATTTTCAACAGAGATAATTAAGCCTTTTTTTTTTAATGTATTTGCCCATACAAATTACAATTGCAAATATAATGCTTTTGCAATAACATAAGAACAGGATATTATAAAGTCATTAAAACAACAAAGAAACCTTCCTCTCCTCACTCTTTAATTGTATGTACCTTCCCACACCATTTTTTGAATTAAAAAAAACCATTTAAAATAATGATATGCAAATACACAATATATTATGGGGCAACTTGCTTTTTTTATCATTTTGCAAAATGCCGTGTGTATCACTGCTGATTAATAGATAAATAAAATAATAATATTTAATATTTATTGCTTATGTATACCCTAAGTAATCTTATAAATGCTTTATATGTTTTAATTAATTTAATCTTTATAACAGCTCTTATAAGGTTGGTTACTAGTATCTTTTCCATTTTGCAGAAGCAACTGAGATGGTAGTTAAGCGTTTTTGTCAAATTGAGGATCAAGATTAAAATCTATTTTTAAAGCTCACCATATTCATATGTTTATTACATTAGCTCATTCATTTTTAATAAGCACACACAATTTCATAGTGTGGTTGTAATTTATTTCTCAGTTCCCTTTTGATATGCATTTGGGTTATTTTCAGTTATTTGAGATGAAAAAAAATTCTAGAATAAGTAAATTGGACACATACTCTCTGCATATACTAGTGGCTTGGACGGTAGCATAGGTTTCCCAAAGGAATTACGGGGTCAAAGATATGTCTAGCTTATCTCTTACTGTCTACTACCAGATTAGGTTCCAGAAAAGGTTTACATCCCTGCTATTTCTCAGTACTCCACCATCACTGTCTCTGTTTTTCATATTTAACACAGAACCCACAGACTAAGTCATCATTATCTGCACTTCTGGTGAGCCAGAGTGTGTGTGAATATTCTGATAGAGCAGCATGTTTCAGATGTGGGCAGTTTTGCCTCCTAATACCTTTGACAATGTCTGAAGCCAATTTTGATGGTCACAACTAGTGTGGGGAATGCTATTGGCATTTAGTTACTGGAAGTTAGGGATGCTGCTAAGCATCCTACAGTGCACGGGAGAGCCTCCTGAAACAAAAAGAATTATCTAGTCCAAAATATCAATAGTGACGAGGTTGAAAAACTGGCATTGATCATTTGAATTTTCTCATCCATGAATTTCAGGTTTGTGATTATTTCCCCAAATTGTTTTTTTTATATCAACTGTCAGAATTTGTAAACTAGAGCTATTAAAATTTCATCTTCTGATGCAAACATTTTTCCAGATCACTGGTATCTTCTTGTTGTTGTGGCTTTTTTTACTTGTTTTTTTTGGGGGGGGGGTTGTGGAGGGCAGCATTTTAAAATGTATTTAACCATAGCTTCCCATTTCTTCATAGTTTCTGTATTTCTTGGCTCACAAGAAAATCCTCCCAACTAAAATGTATACATAAAACTTTACCTAGATTTGTTTATTTTATTTTAAAATTTATTTAGATCCTTAATCTCTGTTTTTATTTTTAAAAATTGTACCAAACAATGTCATCATTAGGAGCACTTATTGCTGGCTTCTTAAACTGCCCTTTCTACTTCAGCTATAACCTTAGACCAGCCATTTATCTGTAATTTGTGGAACTAAATTCGCAATGTTTTTATCAGCAAAGTTAGGGAGGATAATAATTCATTATTAAATGAATTAAATGCATTAATATACATATATCCAACAGTTGCTGGATTTTAGGAAGGTATCCCCGAACCTGACCATCTTTTTCATTACTTTTCCTCATCAGCTCTATCTGTAGTCTATAGCAAGGTAAAAGCACTTGGTAAGTATTGGCTGAGTTGAATGTGTTGAGAACATTTTTTCCTAGGCTGTACTCTTGATAAATATATGATTGATACAGAGATTCTATACTCAGGTAGCTTTTATTCAAGGAAAATAGAAATACGCCACAGAGTCTCTAATGCAATTTTCATGACCTTTTAATTGTCCCCCCTAAAGACAGCATTAACATTCTTTATTTTCATTCTGTTTATTCAATTTGCAGACAATGTGCAACAGATTTCTGCAGTTCCTGTGTATGTGCAAGTTCTTAATGTTAATGATCATGCTCCCGAGTTCTCTGAATACTATGACACATATGTTTGTGAAAATGCAGGCCCTGGTCAGGTAAGGACCTGCAATAAATTGCTAACTAAACATTGCCATATATTATATATAATAACTTTTGCTACCATTCCTCTCATTTTGAAATGATAAAAATAAGCTTCTTTTAACTATATCAATTACTGCTTTTATGTTGTGAGTTCTGTATAATTTAAATTTCTTTTTAGAAAAATAAAATGTAAGCTTCAAGCTTTCCACTTTCAAATTCCTCAAATGTTTGAAACATCTGCTAACACTGGGTATTCATAGTAAATCTTTTATACTTTGCCAATACAATAAAGAAAAGTTCTTTTTTTTGGCAATTCAATAGAATAAGTAATCACATTTCAGTTAATTTTTATTTTTTCATTCATCATGGCACAAGGAAACATAATATATAAACATAAACATGAAGAGAATGAGCTGGAATTTTTTCTATAGCTTATAACTACTGTATCAGACATATCAACATAAAAGAAACCTAATGTCAAATGAATTACTAGATATGTAAAGAATAGAGAGCAGACTTATTTTGAAACACATCACCATTACTTCACAATTAATTTTTCCCTTTCTTCCTTCATTCCTTCCCTCCCTCCCTCCTTTTCTTTCCTTCCTTCCTTCTTTTCTTTTTCTTCCTTTCTTTCTTTCTTTCTTTCTTTCTTTCTTTCTTTCTTTCTTTCTTTCTTTCTTTCTTCCTTTCTTTCTTTCTTCATTTATTTTTACTTCACAATTTATTTCATACATTTTCTCTTGTGGAGCTCACTTTTTTCTTCTGTAAAATGTAAAGCTTAAAGTAGATTGTTCTTTGTTTTCAGTTCCAGTACATTAAAATTTTTCTTAGGTATCATTTGAAATCGTAGAAGCTTATTACATGTCATAAAACATTTTTAAAGATATATAAACTAGTTTTCAGAATACTGAATGTGTGTTATGTATGTGTGTATATATGTATATATAGGAATATATATATATTTACTATGAAATCAATTATTCTCAATAGAAGTGAATTTATCAATGAAGCTAGTTGAAGACAATTTGGATTTTACAAAAATGGAACTTCTAATTTTCTACCAATAAATAATAGTAGCCAACATTTTGCTTTATTTTCAAAGACTTACTATGGTAAGAAATAGGCATATTTTAAGAATGAAGTATACCTGGATCGTTATAGGATATTCAACTGTAACATAATGGGAATGATTAGTAGCTCTTAAAATGTCTTGTGAAATTTATTTGGCCGTATTTATTTCAGAAATAATTCTGAAATATTGCCTATAAGCATTTCCTAAGTTTAAAATAATAATAAAATTATAATAAATATACAAATGAATTTAAACTTAAGCAACTTAATTTGAATTGGTTAGGACCCAGGGTTTTTGATAAAGTAAAAGGTTAATATAAAACTTTCAGAGAATCTCCACCATGTGGCACTGCCCCCTAGATCTAAAACCAGATTAATTTAGAAACCTATGGACAGACAATATGGTATAAAGGAATCACAAAAACAGAATGCGAATGACCTGCTACCCACAACTCCTATAGAAACTGGCTTTAAACATTTATTTGAACTTGGAATTATAAATAGATGATATACTTAGAAATTTAACATATCTGATGTTCTCAAACTTTTCAAACATATCTGTCTATCTGATACATCAACAAATATAATAAGCTTAAAATAAAAATAATTTTGGAAATAAGTTATCTCACAATTTTCTAAATCTACATATTACATTACATATTTAAGATGACTTGTATTTTATAATTATTATAATTATATATAATATATATTATTATAATTATATAAACTATATAATTATAGTTATTAGAATTATATATGTCAAATTTAAATATTTTATACACTTTGCATAAACATGGATGTATTCCAAGTGCACCCCCCCACCCCTGCTGGATTAGACAACCTACTTCCAAACTTAAAAAAATAGGCTTAATTTACTATACACTTATTTTTATCAATGTCCTGGGTGGTAAGTCCACTTACCCAATAAAGTTGCATGTTCAATGTGTTCTTATCTGGGCTGAGATGAGCAGAATATTTGGGAACCAGCACGTTTATATGATAGACTTGAGACCAGCGCCCTGGCCCTATGTGGTAAACACGTCTAAGGACGCTGCTACCTCACTCTGTTGATTACATTGGAGCTTTTATTCTAACTCCTCAAGTTATTTATAACAACTCTAATTAATCATGTTTATAATAACATTTTTCAACTTTTGTATCATGTGAAAAGATGGAAATCTACATTTCTAGTAGGAACTAGCTCCCTCCACTATTGATTGCTTTAGAATCCACTCAGATCTTTACTGACTCAGTGGATCATTCATTCTTTTCACAGATTCTGGCTCATAGGCAAGAACTCAGAGGTCGGTGCATTTGTAATATTGTGGGATACTCTCTTTTTTGAGAATGAGAATTTTTGTCCTACTTTCTGCTCACTAACAGTGACACCATGATCACAGGAGGCTTTGAGCATTAGGCAGAGATGAATTCACAGCAAAGGGCAGAGCAGATGACATTTCCTACAGCGGTTTTCTGACTTCATTGCTCAAAAATTTCAATGGATTTTCCAACACCAGCACAGAAAAGTACAAAACTCACAGCCTGGTATTTATCACTCTCTTTAATTTGGTCACAATTGTGTATATCTTGCTTTTTAATATACACACACACACACACACATATATATATACACACATACATACACACACATTGTATACATACACACACACACACACACATATATATATATATTATTTCCTATTCACACTCTGAATTGCTTGTCTTTCAAAATATAAATTAGTTTCTATAATTTGTTCATATCAACTCTTCTTCCTGAAATGCGCCTGTCGATTCCTATTGGAATTTTAACTACACTGCAAAACTGAACTCACATGCCACATAATCAAACTGTTTTAAACAAATATATATTCACATGGTCCCAGGCATGATTCTAGCAACATTATAAATATTAAACCAATTCTCAAAAATTCTCAAAAAAAATTGTGAGGGAAATATATCATATGCCTCATTTTCCAGGTGAATAAACTGAGGAGGCCCAGGGAAGTTGTTATTTCTTAAGTAAAGACAGAGAGATATTTTATCCCAAGTGCTGGCATCAGAATCCATGTATGTGACCATTATATTTTGTTGCCTCTCTATCCGTAGTTTGAATAGATCTTACATATTTTCGGAATGAGTCATTTCTAGTTTCACGTGTTTTCTAGATTCCAAGATAGTTGTGAACAATGAATGGGTTTATTTTTATATTCTTGACAACAGGCACTGTGGTTCCCAATAATAACTAGTTGAATAAATGAACAGAGTATGAAGACAGTAGTTCTTGAAGAGTATTTTTTCTATAATTCTCTAGAGATATACATTTGAAACTATTAGCCTTGTAGGTGATATTTAAAATGTTGCAGTGTGATGCGATCCCTTAAAGAGAGAGCATGGATGGAGACAAGAATCAGTCTAAAGACTGAGACCCAGATACTCCAGTATTAGTGTTTGGGGGTTGAAAAACAGTAGGAAATAAAATTTGCAAGGAGCAAACCAGGAGAGTATGGTAACATAGAAACAAAACAAAACAAACAAACAAAAAGTATTCCAAGGAGGAGGGGGTTATTATCTGTTTTATTTGCTGCTTACAGATCAGGTAAAAGTAGAAAAGAAAAGATCCTCTTGAATTTAACAATAAAGATTTTAAACTTACTAGAATATTTGTAGGTAATATTTGTAGTATATGTAATGTCACCCAGGAAGAAAATAAAAAGTGAGACTATGAAAGAACATAGGACAGAACCTTTGGGAATAGCATTATTTAAGGATTCGGTAAAGAAAGAGAAGCCTGCAGAGTAGATTGAGTAGGTGGGACCAGTACTGTAGGAGAGAAAGAAGAGTTTTGATGTGGACACACATGAATGCAACAGTTCTTGAGGAGGACGTGTCAATAGACTGAATTCCCACTATTCCAGGAAAGAAAAAAAAAAAATCATCCTCACGGTTTACCATATGGTCAAATTTACTCTTTAAAAATATGTAATTTTGTAAGTCATTCACAGCTATATAAATAAAATGACAGTGCAAAACAACTTGACTAAAATGTGGCAAAGAGAAATTGTACTGGGCACTTGTTAGGAATGGCAAGGAAGATGTTATTCAGATTATTGCAATAAAGGTAAGACCATTGCAATAGGGGAGACAAGTGAACTTAACTCTGCTGAAACAAAGTTCAGGAGAGTTTTTAAATGCTGGGCTGAGCTAGTGAAAAAGTACTGGAGAACACGTGTGGGGAGGGGGAGGTTGGTGTGATTAGGCCAGCTGTGTAACTGGCTCTTAGAGAAGTTAGGGTCCTACCCTCCCATAGACACTGCCTGATAGGGGTCCTATCTTGCTTGATGTCTACATTTCAAAAGGATGGTGTTCAGGCTTTTGAGAAAGACCATTCTACCTCACAAAATTGAAAGAGTTTGGGAGATTTATCTACATTACAAAAGGGTAAAGAAAGAATTTGCCATGAGAAAATGTCTCTTGTAATTGGTCAGGGAAAATGGAGGTCAGGAGCTTCTAATCAAGAAGAAACCTGTCTAAAATTGAGTCAGGCTAAGGGGAATGCTATGGTCCTCTTTGTCAAATGTTAACAAAATGTAAACCTGCCAAATACATACTTGTCAGTATGTAACACTTCGAGAAGTTTAAAATATCCTTTACAGCTCATATTTTTGTTGAAGAAGGAATGGCTGTCTTCTTTGCTCCATGATTGCAAAGCATTTAATCTTTAGATTTATAAACAGCAAATAATAATCAATCTAGTTAAAAAGAAAAATCCTATTGCATTCCCTTCCTTCCGGTGACATTTAGATACATTCTGCCTTCAGCAGTTTTCCATTTGCAAGATAAATCAAGTAGATTTTGGTGCAAAACATTTATAAAAGATGAAAAAATACTGTCACATTTATTTTTAGCAAAACAGAACAGCCCAGATTCTTATCGCAAAATA